CTTGTTCCGCTTGACGATTTGGGGGTGGGCGAATATTAATTAAAGTGAAGTGGGGAGCAGAGGGGTTGTGTGGCAGGCATTCAGTGAAAACTCTCTTCCGACTGGGCTGTTCCTGAAATTCTAAGCCAAACCCCTCACTTATTTCTCAGAAGACCCCCCCCCAACCCACCCTCCCTCCCTGCTTTTTCTCAGAGGGCCGAATTGAACTCTTGCAACTGTGGTGAGCACAAAGGCGAATTCAGGTTTCTCAAAAGCCCATCCGTTCTGAATAAACACCAGGGAGAAGCAAGATTATTTTTGGTGGTGCATGAACACAGGGCCCACAGCCTGCCCTCCCTCTAGAAAGGCCTTGCCTGGCCTTGCATTAAAACTAACAATATTGGGGCAGCTGAAGGAATAGCCTGGCTCCTGAGCCCCCCATCACTCAACCAGTGCAAGAATGTCGGGACTAACTCCCAACTGCCCTCTTTCATCTTGACCCACAGCTTTTCAAGAGGAACTTGAGTTCTCTATGAGCGTGTATTTGCTAATTGCAGCCGGGGCTTTAATGAGATTCTTTTAACTCCCCCAAGCTCGTTTGCAGGTTATAGCCTTATCTGGGGACCCACGTTTTCCACCCTGGCTACACATCCCGTGAACAATCGCCTCTCCAGAGCCTGAAAGGAGAGCGAGCGCCCCATTTCTGCTGAATACACATCTCAGTTCATCCAAGGCTGGCGGGCTTTTGATGGCCACAATGCAAGTTACGCCCAAAGAGTGTCTCTTTGGTCAGATCGACAACGCTTGGCTTCACGTTTGCAAGTTAAACGGGCAGAAACCGGGCTGAAACTCCCACGCCAGACGCCGGGGACATTTCCCTCCGCCCTGCTCAGAGCAAAACTGGGGTATGGGTCTGGGCGGGGGGAGAAAAGAAAGGAGGGGTAGTAGTGAGGAGAGGGTGGGGGAAAAGAGAGTCCTGATTCTCAACAGCCATCTAGAAGAAGAAAGCGGGGGAGGGGGGGCATTTTCTCTGGCATTTCTTATTTTTATTTTTCCATTTTGCTTTGTTGGCAGCTTTACCCAAACAAAAAAAAAAAATGAGAGCATTTTTTCCTCGTCTTCACCTAGGTAGCTGCTTTCCTCCAGCCCCTGAAAATGTGACTCCTTCATAAAATCAAAATTTATGATTATTCAAATGTTGGGGAACTGTGAAAAGACAGGAAGAAAGAGAGAAAATTAATATTGCAGCTGTTCTTCTGATTAATGAGAGATAATTGCTCATGAAAAGTCACCCCTGTGGCATTTTGTTGTCTCCTGGATCTTTGTTCTTTTCCACTATTATTGAGGACTTTCTTGAAGACTAAGCGGTTCTTTTCAATTTTTGGGTATTCAGAAAGGGTTGCCTGGTTACAGAGAATGGGGAAATCTCGGGCTATATCGGGTAAGATGTGCCACAGACAGCAATATCACAATGCCACTCGGAGAAAAGGATGGATACAAGTTAACGATGCACTTTCAATAAAACATTCATAGACTTGTTCACGCTTTGATAATGACCTCATTAAAGGGAGCTGGGGGCAAGTAAGTCCTGTCTCCTGTTTGTGTTCCGCTAACAAAACCCAGCTTTGAGATCATTCATCGCTTTGGAAACTAATATGAAATCAATGTAAGAGGAGCAAATAAATCCGAGGCGGCCCCGCCAACTCCTGGGCTGTCCCGCCCTGCCTGCAGCCTCCATTTGGAGCTGGAGAACCATGTGGGCAAATGCCGAAACTAAGAGAAAAAAGGACTGGGATGAAAGGGAGGGGGGACTTTGGAGGACACAGAGGGTGGGGCAAAGTGGGAGTTAACAGCCTGAAAAAAAATGGCTAAGCACAGGAACGCGTCTGAACTCTGGAGCCTGTTGAATAAGCAACGCTAAGTCCCCGCCCTTTACTTTCCCTGACTTTGCCCAAGAAAGGAAACAGGAAGAAAGAGAAGTGAGAGAGGAATGTGGGGTTCAGGTCAGGTGCCAATGCAGAGCTGGGAAGAAGTACTGGAGACCTTTTGAAAGCTAGAAGTAAGAATTCAAATTTCAAGGTTGGGCTGAAAGGAAACTGTTCACCCAGGCTCAAGTTGGAGAATCCAGAGACCAGAAGGCCATGCCTGTGCTGTTCTTTCTAGAACCACGGTGATTTTTTTTCCAAGTTGAGGGTAAGGGTGGAGTACCCTGGCTAGGAGAAGGTGGAAAGAACAATTTTGTTACCATCACATAGGTGACACTGTCTTGCACTCAAGGAAGACAAAACCATCCTCGAGCATCCTGAGCAAGACGGAGAGAATAAAAAGATTTCCCTCTTCCCTTAAAAGAACTAATTTTCTCCTTGAATTATGAAAGTAATGGCTTAGGTAACAGCCTGTACTCTGTACCCGACTGCTTAATACCGAATAAATCCTTCCACGTGGCTCCCCGAGTCGTGGCAATTAGAGCTCATTATAGGCTCATAAGAGCTCTCATTTTGGGGATTACTTAATGGACGATGAAATTTTATCGGACAGAATCACTGAGAAATAAAATTGTGTGGCGGCTCAGGCACCGTGGGCACACGCCAACCGTCTGTCTGCTCCGTCTCGGGAAAAGAAAGCTGAAGTTAGGGTCCCTGCTGGTTCAGGGCACTGCACTCTGAGGAACGGTAGGGCTAGGCAGGGCCAGGGGCAGTGCTGCCCAGGGCCATGGAGGGTAGGCTTTCTTTGAGGAGGGGATAGGCAGGTAGGGCCAGATGGGGGCTGGACTCAGAAAAGGAGGAGGGAGAGAAACTGGCAGAGACTGAGAGATCCAGAGAGAACTAGAGAAATGAGTCAGAGTGGACAGCAAGAAATAGGATTTCAATATACTTGCTCTTGATGGGCCCAAGCAATTAACCAAGTACCCTAAGGGACAAGGTTTGCAGACATGGTCTGGCTTTCAGCCTCAGCCTGGTCTGAAACCACTGCTCCCCTTGAAACCCTTAGGAAACCCCATGAGCCCCTCACATTTCTCAAAATTCCTTGGCACTGTAAACTGAAAGTTTCCATAGACAGACACAAATTGATTAAGATGCACAAGCCTCTTGCATAGTTAAGATTCTCTAAAGTAAAATGGTTTGCACATGATTGTGATTTCTAGCATATTAGCATAGGCGCTTTTCCTCTGAGCACACCCCAAACCGCTGAGAACATTGTGACTCAAACTGTCAGCCCAAAACAGACAGTAGATAATCTAGTACCTCCCAGAGGAGGAAAAGAGAGAAAGTTATTATTCCTAGAGTATCTATATATATATATTCTTAAAGAGTATACATATATATACTTTATATATATACATGCATGTATATTTGCAAAGTGAATGGGGGAAATCAAGTCATCTACTCGGACAGTTGAGGACTGCCATCAGCAGGGTATTGCCATTCCAAGCCTTCTTCCTGGGGCTGAAATGGTTTCAGGGATTGCCTAGATCCTCCAGTCATGAACAGGGGTGGGCTGGGGTGAGCCTGAGCGTCTGCAAACCTTGTGGTACAAAAGTAGTTACAGCTGAGCTGCCCCATGTTAAGCCCTGAGACTCCTTAATTGTTGTCACAAGATGTTGGATTAGCACATTTCTGGAATAGCTGTCTGTTTACACTCCAGAGACCCACCGTCCACTAACCGCTTTCTAATTGAATTCTAATCACATTCAAATAGCTCAATAACCAGCCTCAGCTGCAATTCATAAAACTTTAATTGCCATCCATAAATCCTGGGCTCCCCAGAGCGGGGCATCCCTACAACCCAATTACACTTCTCTAGCAGGCAAGAGAGACCGTCACTGAGATGGAGAGGGGAAGACAGAGGATGGAATCACAGAGCCATGCCTCTAGCTAGTGCTCTCTTGGATTTGGACACCATGTTCGCTCAGGTGGAGGGAGTCCTGTCTCTAAGTTTATCAGCACCATCATGAACTCAGGATTGAAGTTAGTTGTTCTGGGAAGAGGATCGGACTTGCAGCTATTGCCCACATTCATGGCCCTAGCCCACTTTTCTGCAGGGGGAAAGAAAGAGGGAAAATGGCCACCTCTGCTGCCTTGGCTTCTCCAAAGATCAATAGCTCCAATAGCTTGGCAGCCACCCTGCTAGGTAGCAAGACTTCCATGGACCACATCATCCAGAGAAATTTCCTTTACCACACCACTTCTCCCAATCAGTGGCAAGATTCCCTGGGTAGCTGAATCCTCTTCATCCTTTTTAGGTTCTTAGGATGCAGAGGAAAGAGTGCTTCCTGATTAGCCTTGCCAAGCTCCCCAAGATTGGTAAAAATGAGAGGGGCAGGAAATCCTCAGACTCAGAGCGAAGGTCTATTCAATCCCTGCTCAGTCTCCAAGAGGGCTGGTGTGTGAGGTCCTCTCTCCAAAATCTTCAGGATGGAGCTTGTAGGGTTGCCCTGGAATGCCATGGTGTTAACTACTTGGAGAAAGAAAAGGGTGACTCTTCAACATCTCTCTCTCTCTCTCTCTGTGGAAGTGGGAGCTGCCGATTAGAAAGGGAAACAAGGAAGGGTCGTTGGTCTGAATGGCCCCAGGAGGGCCCCAAGTACAAAGACACTTTAGACCTTGTCGAGCATCAGCATGAAAAGCTGGATGGCTTCTTAGCTGGAAGGCCTCATTGTTATGCGCTGGACCCTCCTGAACTAACCACCTGCATGACTTCGGCCAAGTCCAAATGCTGTGGACAGGGGTAGGTGTAAGCGTGGCTAGAGCTGTGCTCAGGGACTGGACCGCTGCCAGTCCGCCGCCAGCACAATCCTGCTCCAAACCGCAGGCCTCACACTTCACCACGCCACAGCCACCCCTAACACAGAGGAGTTGGGAGCACTCAGCATTACTATTAAAAAGGCCTCCAAGTCCCACCAGGTGCGCTGTGCGGCGGGCGTGGGGAAGAGTTGGGCTGGGGCCCAGGGTAGCGAGAGGGGGTGGGATGGAGGATGCAGCGCTGTGATTTCTCGATAAAGCGTGGAGAAAGAGGGGGAGGAGGCCGGCCTCCCCGGGAAATTAACAAAACCTACACTTTGCAAAGTCTCCCCCATCCCCCTCCCCCGCGTTCTTCCCCGCGGCGCGCCTGCCCCTCCTCGCGGCTTCTGTTGTGACTCTGGCAGCCTATCCCGAGGGTGGGGAGCTGCCGAGGAGCCAGAGCAGAGCGGTACTCCGCAGCATCACGTGCCAGGGTGGGGGCTATAAAATACCCAAGCCGGGGCGCCGGGCGGGGGACGTGAGGACCAGCCCTCTCCCGGGACCCCTTTGTTCCCAGCCCAGACGCCAACACCTCTGCGCCCCCACGGGCTTGACCGCCAGTGTCTGCGCGGCTCCTGGGGTAGAGCTCAGAACACTAAGGGGAGGGGTCGCCGCGGCCGGTCGGGCCTTCCAGCCACCCACCCCCCTCGACATGTCGCGCTCCTTCTATGTCGACTCGCTCATCATCAAGGACTCCTCACGGCCCGCATCCTCGCTGCCTGAACCGCACCCTGGGCCGGATTTCTTCATCCCGCTTGGCATGCCGTCCCCATTGGTGATGTCCGTGTCCGGTCCCGGCTGCCCATCCCGCAAGAGCGGCGCGTTCTGCGTGTGCCCCCTCTGCGTCACTTCGCACCTGCACTCCTCTCGGGGGTCTGTGGGTGCCAGCAGCGGGAGCGCAGGGGCCGGGGTTACCGGGGCCGGAGGCAGTGGGGTGGCTGGGGGCGCAGGGGCCCTGCCTCTGCTCAAGAGCCAGTTCTCTTCGGCTCCTGGGGACGCGCAGTTTTGCCCGCGGGTTAACCACGCGCACCATCACCACCACCCGCCACAGCACCACCATCACCACCATCAGCCCCAGCAGCCTGGATCCGCCGCGGCGGCAGCAGCAGCAGCGGCGGCGGCGGCGGCGGCGGCGGCGGCCTTGGGGCACCAGCAACACCACGCACCTGTCTGCGCCGCCACCACCTACAACGTGGCAGACCCGCGGAGATTCCACTGCCTCACCATGGGTAGGGCGGGGTCTTTGGGCCCCTGCACTCCGCGCCTTACGCGCTCCTGGAGCAAACTTTCCACCTCCGGTGGAGGAAGTGGGAGACCCGGCGGGACAGAGTGGAGAGGGAGGAGGGGCTTTTAATGTAACTGTAGAGTCCGCCACGGAAGTTCGACGGAGGTGGAAGTTAGTTTACCAGCTTCTCCACTCAGCCTGGTGCGTTTCATTCCTAGTACCAGGTGCTCGAGTATCGCCTTATTAATATTGGGGCCTTAGGGACCTCGAACGTCACCGCGGAGAAACAAAAGGCTGCTTGAGGGTTGGGGTGGGTGTGTTTGAACCTGTGTGGCATCCCCACGTCTGGGCTGGCTAAAGCGTTTTGACGTTTTTGGCTAAGCCTGCATGCTTCTCCGCTAGGCTGAAAGAGAGATGATCAGACAGTGCGAATCCCCATCCCTCTTTAATCCTCTGACTTCGCGTCCTGTGCATCAAAGACCTTTATTTGCTTTGCAGGTCTCTTTTCTCCCCCGCTAAGCAACGACGTGGCTGGAAATGGGAAAGGGATACAGGTGTTCGGTTGGGCTTTCCGGGATGGGTCCCTAAAACGCATCCTTGTTAGCACCTGGGGTGGGAGCCTTACCTCTCTGCCCTCTCTTCGCTTGTCCGCAGGCTCTGACGCCAGCCAGGTACCAAATGGCAAGAGGATGAGGACAGCGTTCACTAGCACGCAGCTCCTGGAGCTGGAGCGAGAATTCTCTTCCAACATGTACCTGTCTCGACTCCGGAGGATCGAAATCGCCACTTACCTGAACCTGTCGGAGAAGCAGGTGAAAATCTGGTTTCAGAACCGCCGAGTGAAGCATAAGAAGGAGGGGAAGGGCACGCAGAGGAACAGTCACGCGGGCTGCAAGTGCGTCGGGAGCCAGGTGCACTATGCGCGCTCCGAGGATGAGGACTCCCTGTCGCCTGCCTCGGCCAACGATGACAAGGAGATTTCTCCCTTATGAGGGAGAGGGGGGCGCCTCCCTCACATCCCCCGCTCCTGGAAGACCCGGCAACACCAAGGCGTGGGGGCACCAGGGGCCAAAATCCTTGCTCGTCGCAGTGGTCCCATCTGGAGAAGAAACGAACCTGGAAGTTCTGGAATGGACATGCCGGGCCTAATCTTTCCCGTCTCCTCCTTGACCTGTTTATTCGGGGCTCCAACTCGAAGTTATAGATTGTTTTTAAAAAATGTAAATAACCTAGAATTCAACTTACTCTTGTAACAGAGGAAAAACAGGATTGGTTTAAGTTTAACACTGTATGGGGTTTTTGAAAGCGCATGTCATTTCCTCATCCCTACTCTCTTTCAGAACCTGATAAGAACACGGGGTTTATTGATTATTTTCTGTTGTTGTTTTCAAACAAAAACACTGAAGTTGCAAATAATGTAGAAAATTAGACCCTGTAGGTCTTGCTTTCTGAAATTTCCCCTGGGGAGAATTTAAAATCTAAGTCGCTGGAAGTCCTTTTGGATGTGAATAGTTTTATATAAAAATTATATTTATATTTATTTAAATAAATGAAACAAAACCAGGATTTGAAATTGGTTGTATTTGCTCTCCCTATCTCCTCCTGCCCCCTCCTCCAATGTCTAGAGAAAGGCAGGCATGGGGCAAAAGCTGTCTGAGGACTTCGAGGAAAGTGTTGAGTAAAAGCGTGGTAATGGGAGTCTCTTGACTAGGGGAGTTTGTGGCTCTATAGGTTTTCTATGTAACAGAAAGTTTTGCCAAGGAGACACCTTTAGTCATGATTGCACCTATGCGGTAGTGCCTCTCCATCCTCAAAGTAGGCAACCTCCTCACAGTTGATAGGACACATCACTCCATTTAGAATGATACACAGGTAAACATTTCTTTAGCCAGGAAGGGTAAAAATACCCCATCTACTATTTCTTTTCTTCCTTCTGCTTCCTCATCTCTCTCAGTAGGAAAACTTGAATTATGTGAAGGAATTTGTAGAGTCAAAATAGTTTTAGGAAGAGCAACAATCTATCAAACAGGCCAGAGGCAAACAGTGGAAGCTTAAAAATGATGCTGCAAGCTGAATGAGCTTGTTTCCCTCAATGTTGAGAAAAGAAAAAGGGGTAGGAAATATTCTGTTCAAAGATTTATGATCTCGCTTTTTCAAAGCAGCCCAGAGATGCCTTTAGACCTCTGAATTTCAGGGTTTCTTTTCCTGGTCTCCCTAACGTTTAGGTAATTTGTCTCCCTTCTAGTCCCCTCCCCGGGCCACCCTTCCCATAGCCTAGCAGAGTCACTTCCTTTAAACCTGGTCCCCAGGAGACTTATTCCTAGCCCTTCCCTCAGCAGGGCAACCTGGCTCTCTCAGCAGTGCTGCCTGGGCTTGTTATCTTAGGGAGAGAAGTGAAGAAGCTGGAAACAGGAAAAGGAAGAGGTCTCATTCCCTGCAAGCTGATCCCCACTAATCCTCAGCTAGTGTGATTTCTGATTAGGTTCTATAAAGATGCCACCCAATAGGTTCAAGCCACAGGAATTGATGACGACACACATACACAAGGGCTTTAGGTCTGATTTACTTGAGGCTGGTGGTACTGAACCTTATCAGGTGCAGTTGGGGCCTAAAACCGACCACGGTTTTCCCGGAGTGTTGTCTTTCTCTAACACACACACACTCAGTAGGCTTAGAAGGAAAACCCCTCTACACACACACACACACACACACACACACACACAC